TTTTTTTTTTTTTTTTTTTTTTTTTTTTTTTTTTTTTTTTTTTTTTTTTTTTTTTTTTTTTTTTGGGGCGGGGGCGGGGGCGGGGAGGGGGTGCTGGCTGATGCTGGGGGCTGTTCGTCGTGGTTATATTGCTGTATATAAATATATATAAATATAAATAAATAAATATATAAATATATATATATATATATGTATATATATATATATATAGTAAAAATACTTGTATTGTTTTATTATCTTAATGCTGTTATTTTATAATAATAATAATTGACGATGAAGCGTGTACATTAGCTTTCCTTTCTTTTGCTGCTGCTGCTGCTGCTCCTCCTGCTGCTGCTGCTGCTGCTGCTGCTGCTGCTGCTGCTGCTGCTGCTGCTGCTGCTGTTGGTATACAGAAGTACACGCACCGGGGTGGCGTGCGTCCCTTTGGTTTGTCTGTGCTGCTGGCTGGCGTTGATGCTGAGGGGCAGCTGGCGCTCTATCAGACGGAGCCCTCAGGCATCTTCGCTAGGTGGAAGGCCCAGGCACTAGGGAAAAACTCAAAAGTATGTTTAGTTTATTTGTTTGTTTATTTGTTTATTTTATTTATTTGTTTGTTTGTTTGTTTGTTTGTTTGTTTGTTTGTTTGTTTGTTTGTTTGTTTGTTTGTTTGTTTATTTATTTGTTTGTTTGTTTGTTTGTTTGTTTGTTTATTTGTTTATTTATTTATTTATTTGTTTGTTTGTTTGTTTATTTATTTGTTTATTTATTTGTTTGTTTATTTATTTATTTATTTATTTGTTTATTTATTTATATTGATTTATTTATTTTTTTTTTTTTTATTTTATTTATTTGTTTGGTGAGGTGTGGAAGAAGTTTATTTAAATTTATGATTGCTCACATCTGTGCAGATAGATAGACAGAAAAGTTCGCTGGGATATATAAATTTATGTATATACTGCATGCATGCATGCATGCATGCATGCATACACTGCATGCATGCATGCATACACTTCATGCATGTATACACTGCATGCATTTATGCATACACTTCATGCATGTATACACTGCATGCATGCATGCATGCATACACTGTTTGCATGCATGAATGGATGTATATTATGTGGTAAAAATATAGTGTTATGTATTTGTGTTGTGTGTTGAATATATAAGTGATATATGTTTAAATTATTTATAAATATTTGTGTGTTTATATTGCTGCGGTGTATGTACACCTCAGACTGTACAGGAATATTTAGAGAAAAATTATAAAGAAGAAATGAATGAAGAAGAAACTTTTAGTTTAGCTATTAGTGCTGTTGCTGAAGTCGTAGAAAGCGGAAAAAGAAATGTTGAATGTGTTATTGTAAAAAAAGGAAAAACTGAGTTTGTTGATGCAGACAGAATCACAAAAGAGGTAATTAAAAAAATATTTATTTTTATTTATTTTTATTTATTTTTATTTATTTTTATTTATTTTATTTATTTATCTATTTTTATTTTATTCTATTTCATTATAAAACAA